GTCTCATTATTTTATGCATAAAAGTATTAAAGTAAGATTCCCAAAAATTGAATGTTTTTACAAGATATATTGTATTTTATGTCAAAATACTATAATTTACAAGCCTCATACCTCGAAAAGTACTTAATAAAAATAACTTCATTATAGTGTTTTGAAAAGCTCTTGACACCAGCTATTAGATTTTGGAATCAAATATAGGGGTTTCCATTTAAAAAAATAACTGACCTTCAAATGACCTTGAAAATTGACTTCAAGATCAAAGTCACTAGCACAAATAGGTGACCCCCATTGTCCTAAACAACTTTTGTCTGAACCATTTTTCTGTATTTGGCTTACTTACAAAGAAATTTGCGTGGATGGATTAAAATGGCCCACCCTGTATAAAGCATTCACCACTTTTTGAACACTTCGCCACGCTGTAGCTGTACCGACATCAAATCTATCAGAAACACACCTTACAAAAAATATTTGTTAAATATTTCTAACATATTAAGCACACATACTTTTATATATTACTGTTAGCGATCGCGTGAAAATAATTACTTGTCCTACCGTCCGTTCAATCATCGTTTACCTGTAAACAAGGCCGATATTTGTTTTGGTTACATAGCCGTTTCTTTCAAAATTCTAACAAGCGCTCTGTGCCCCTCTCGAGCCACCAAGGCAAAACCAAGCAGCGTATATAAAGCGCTTCCTCGATTCCGGGGCCAGAAGTTCTTTGAATGTGATACGGAGCAAAAACGAAAATTCAAATAGAAAACGTTCGAAAAGTCGCGAGTGTTTGATCTCAGACTTACATAAGGTGGCTCTTATGTAGTTAATTTAATAGAAATAAACGCATTTCTAAACTTGCAAATTTATTGAGTGCAACCGGACATTATTTCGCGACATCTCTCGAGATTCTATTGCCTTCTCCATTTTTCCGTTTTTCTGCCTATCTCTGTCTCTCAGAGTTCTTGCTCACTTTCCGAGATCGTCGTCTCGCTCTGCGGACGACAACAAGTCTTTCTATCTCTTTCTCTCTGCCTTCCTCTCACCGTTCTCTATCGCTCTAATCCGCTACCTAATTACCGCCATCGACACCTGCATTCATTCAGAGTGCTTCCAGCGCCTCTTTATTAAGTTCCGACAGATAAACCAGCCTCAGTTTTGGTTTCGCGAACAATTACAAATTATAATATTTACCTATAGGAACTTGGTGTACTCATAAACCAGATGGCTATAAGTAATTGCTTTTCAGGGGATATTGGATACTTTCCATATCTGTTATTTTGCTTACATAACTGTGGTCGTAATAATTCTAATACAAAATTATAGGTCTTTTGTTTCATACTAAAATAATAAATAATTATTTTAATAGATTTTCTTTATATTATTAATACAAAAAGTGTGGTTTATACAATGCTTTTTTACTAGTACACTAGTGTGCTATTATTTACATATTAAAAATATTAATTTATATATAATTTACTTACCGAAAATGTCTTTTAAATTTATCGTCTGTAAAAGAATCTACTATTTCCATATAATTTTTGCAGCGCGCTCGTGGTATCAAACTTTTTTTTGTTATACAAAATAATACACTTTCGTCTTCTTTATCTGTATCAGAATCTGATTCGGATGAATCAAATAATTTTACGGCTTGTAAAATTGTTAAACTAGTTGTTGTTGTCATTGAAGCAGCCATCTTTGCAGTACGAATACTGCGAATATTGTTCCGTTATAGGGCGAAAAAAGTAATAGGAACAATTAAGGAACGCATTTCCAGCACTGCTTTATGACGTCACGTTCGCAGCACTGGCAGTGAATATCGGAATGCACCCATGGTGACATTCTGTTAACACCTACATAAACAAGACTATCTCGCAATCATATTTGTGACTTTATTTCCAAATAATTTTATAAATGACGAATTGAAACCACAATCTTTCTACTAAACAGATTTGTAACGTTAGCACTGAAGATGGTTGAATGATCAGCCGAAACGTTTGACATCGACGATGCCCTAACAATATTCGTTACTATGGATACTGATACTTCTATCAAACATCGATAACAGATATCTAATAGACATCTATGATGGATT